AGCTCCCGGTCCTCTGTGCGCAGGAAAAGCGGCGGCTGCAGGAGCAGATCCGCGCGGCGCGCCGGGAACTGGAGGAGGAGAAACTCCGCGTGGAGCGGCTCAAGGTTGGGGCGCTGGCCGGGCCTGGGGGATGAGGCGGAGGTGTCTGCGCGGGTCGGTTTGCGGGGCGACAGGAACCTCTGCCCAATTTGGGGGGTGGGCAATAAGGAGGCGTCGGTCGCAGCTTGGGGGGCGTCTTTCCCAGCCCGAGAAGGGATGGGGCGGGGTGGTCCTGGGGACAGCAGTCCCACTCTGGGAAGAGCATGGGAACCCAGGAGGTCTTTGTCCTAGTTTGGGGGACACCAGGGGAGCCCTAGGGCAGCTTAGGGGTAGGGAGGGGCCGTAGGGAAGGACGTTGGTTTCACCTCTGGGAGCGTCTGTCTTGTTTTGGAGGAGTTGTGCCCCCCCCAGTCTCTGCCCATTCTGGGCGGGTTGAGGGGACAGAGGGGTGTGTGTCCCAGTCTGGGAAAGCCATCGCTGGCTGGCAGTGGGGTGTTTGTTCCATCTGGAGGTGTTGGGGATCAACCTGAGCACTGTCCCAGCCCGATGTGTGTCCCCTCTGGGTGACTGTGGGGCAGTAAGGAATCTACTGAGGCGAGGTCAGGAGGGGACCACCCGGGGTAGGGCAGCCTGTATGTCCAGCCCAGGGTTCCCTTCCATGCCCAGAGGAAATCTCTCCGCGAGCGTTGGCTAATGGATGGGGCGGCTGAGGGGCCACAGCAGCCCGAGGATCCCGGCTCGAAGGACCCCCAGTCGCCGGAAGGCCAGGCTCAGGCACGCATCAGAAACCTAGAAGACAGCTTGTTCACGTGAGTGTCCCCCACCCTCCCACCAGGGTGCCAGGCCGGACCTCTGGATCACTGGAGAAGGGGGCAAATTGAGTTGAGGACCCAGCACCCAGCAGCCTGCTTCTCTCCCTCAGACTCCAGAGTGAGCTGCAGCTGTTGCAAAGTGCGTCCACAGGTGCCCAGCACAAACCCTTGGGTAGGCTCACCTGGCGCAGACAGGTGAGGAACCAAGGAGCGGTGGGTAGGGGAGGGGGCGTGGCCTTCTCCGAGAGCCCTTCAGCACCATACATTGAACCCACCTCTTGCTACTTCTTTGCTTGGAGGGGGTCGGCAAGTAGGTTTCCCTGCCTCAGTTTCCCCATCTCTAAAGTGGGAATAGCGACAGCACCACGTGGAAGCGCCCCTGGGGGCGACCAGAAGACCATAGCACTGGTAGCAGGCACAGGGAAGTTTGGGATTTTGGTTGTTAGTATGGTCCTGTTAGGGAATGTTGGCAGAAAATGTGGGCAGATGTCCCTGGGATCCGGCCTTGGAAGTCACAAAGGGTCACCAGAGATATTGTGATTGTCTGAAAATAAAATAAAAAGGGTTGGGGGTGTGACACAGTAGCAGAGCAGGTGCCTGGATGCCCAGTACCTTTTGTTATATCCCTGGTTCAGGAAAAAAATAATACTAATCTGGCTCCCTAGGTTATCCTTGAAATCCAAAAGATTCAGCAACGTTCACCCCCGTCCGCAGAGGGCTGGGTCTTCCACAGTGCCACCCCTCCTGTCTTCCCTTAGCCCCAGGAGCTTGCTGGGTGCTGAGTTGGGGGAAAGCTCTTGTTGGGGCTGGGGTCGGCCGGCCGTTCCTGGCTGGAGATGGGCAAGGTTTGGTCTGGGCCTCAGGGAGCTCACGGTCTAGGGGAGGAGACAGGCACGGAGCTGTGAGGGGGGAGCCTGAGTGTGGAGGGTCACCTAGGGGAGGCCTACCTGTGGGAACTGGGGGTGGAGCCCGGCCACAGAAGGCTTGCCTGGCATGTGTGAGGCCCTGGGGGTCCCAAAAGCATCAGTAAGTTAAAAGGAAAAGTGACATCTAGGTTGAATTTGCAAAGAGAGAAAGCACAGCCCTTAAAAGGCCTGACGGCCGGCAAGAGGAAGATGGAGTCAGAGACTGAGGCCATCCTTGGAGCCGGGCCGAGGTCGCCTACAGAGCTGTTGCCTGCTGCCCTGCCTGAGCCCATCTTCCTCCTCTTCATCCTGCGTTTCATTCCAGCCACAATGACCCTCTCTTCTATTCCTCTAACTTGCCCAGCTCATGGTGGCCTCAGGACCTTTGTACTTCTATTTCCTCGGCCTGGAATGCCTATCCCCACCTCTTGACTCCTGACTGCTTCTTCACACCCTTCGGATCTCTGTTCTGCCACCTCTACCAGGAGGCCCTCTGCATTTAATACCTACAGGAGGCCCCTTCCCGCCTCCCAGCCGCTCCCTAGCTCCTCTTCCTGACTTTGTGCCTCTCCACAACCCTTCTCACTGCCTGGCATGATCTATTTCTTTATGTTTATTTTTTTTTGTTCTTGTTTTTTATGTTGTTGTTTCGGTGCCAGGGATTGAACACAGGGCCACTCGACCCCTGAGCCACCTCTGCAGCCCTATTTTGTGTTTTATTTAGAGACAGGGTCTCACTGAGTTGCTTAGTGCCTTGCTTTTGCTGAGGCTGGCTTTGAACTCGCGATCCTCCTGTCTCAGCCTCCCGAGCCGCTGGGATGACAGGCGTGTGCCCCCCCGCGCCCGGCTTATGCCTGTTTTTCACCTCCTTCCTTCACTGAAATGAGTTCCAGTAACAACAGTCTTGAGCGTCGTCATTGTGTGCCCTGACCCAGTAGCTGGCAGAGGAGGCCCCTGACACAGGGATCATCTCTGTGAGCACAGCCTTGTCGAAGCACCTGTCGTGTGTGACCTGCAGCAGTGGGAGACACACAGGCTCCGGAGGCTGAGGGGAGGGGGTTGGGTCCTGAGGACAGTGGGAGCCACGGAGGGGGCTTGAGCAGGGGAGGGGCACTGGCCCGAAGGGAGGCTGGAGGAGGGGACAGGGCCCACCTGACCTGGTCTCTGCCCTCCCTGCAGAGTCACCGTCCTGTCTCCCAACCCACCATGGAGGCGGGTCTTGCAGGTGGGTGTTGGAGCCCCAAGGGATGAGGAGGAGGGTCCCTGGTCCTTCCGGCCCTGACCTGCCCTTTCTTCTCCTCTGCTGACCTACGCCCAGGCCAGTCTGAGCCGGACAAGAGAGCTTCCCTGCCGACTGGACTGGTGGGCGCATCCCCAGAGGTCCCCTCTGAGCCCCAGGAGGAGGCTGCGGGGGTCCTGCCACCACAGAGGCAGGTCCCTGGGGCCGTGGGGGCCTCCCCAGAAGCCAACGGCCCCTGCCCTGGACCCAGCCCTGGCAGGGAGCAGGAGCGGAGCCTGGGGGCGGCGGCAGCAGAGCGGGGTGTAGTGGAGGCCAAAGGGGTGGGCGTGGTGGAGGTGGTGTGGGAGGGCCTGCGGGCCCCAGGGGACTGTGCCGAGGGGACACCGGGCCTGGAGCTGGAGGCCAGGGTGGAGGAGGTGGTACTGGAAGCCATTGGGGACAGGCAGGGGGCTGGCAGCCCCGAGCTCCCAGCCTGGGTGAAGGAGGGCAGGGGTGTGGCGGAGATGGTCTGGGAGGGGCTGGGGGGCACCGAGTCGCAGGCCAGCGGGGAGGTGGGCCCAGAGGCCACACTGAGCAGCTCGCCAGGGCGACTGCAGGGAGATGCTTCCCGGGAGGGAGAAGGTGCTCCCCCGGGCAGCCCCGAGGCCGAGGGGCAGGGGGGCTCTGGAGGAGAGGAGGGGTCCTTCATCTGGGTGGAAAGAGCGACTCTCAGTGAGGACTGGGAGGAGCTGCTGATGGAGGGGCTGGAGGGGCCCGTGGTGACCGAGGAAGGAGGCCAGGAAGCCTGGGAGGGGGGGAGGAGACGAGTAGAGGAATCCCCGGGGGCGGGAGGTGAGGAAAGTGAGGCAAAGCCAGAGACAGGGAGGGACGCAGCTGTGAATGCAAGAGAGGGGCCACAGCAGCCAGAGAGAGGAGGTGAGGGAGACGGAGCGGCTGAGGAGCCCTTGGGCACCGAGATAAAAGACGGTGAAAGACCCTTGAGGGCAGAGGAGGAAAGGGGCCAGGACCAGCCAGAGGCAGAGGAAAGAGCTGAGGACCCGTCTCGAGTGGAGAGAAAAGAAGTCGAGGGGCCTTTGGGGACAGAGAAGGAAAGAGGGGAAGAAAAGCAAGCTACAGAGAAAGAAGCGGAGGAAGCTCTGGGAGTGGAGGGAAAAGGAGGCCAGGAAATGCCGGGGGCAAGGGAGGCAGAGAGGGAAGGAGGTGAGACAGCCTCAGGGGCAGAGAGGGAAGGAGGTGAGGAAGCACCAGAGGCAGAGAGGGAAGGAGGTGAGACAGCCTCAGGGGCAGAGAGGGAAGGAGGTGAGGAAGCACCAGAGGCAGAGAGGGAAGGAGGTGAGACAGCCTCAGGGGCAGAGAGGGAAGGAGGTGAGGAAGCACCAGAGGCAGAGAGGGAAGGAGGTGAGACAGCCTCAGGGGCAGAGAGGGAGGGAGGTGAGGAAGGACTCGGGGCACAGAAGACTCAGGGGTCTGAGGAAGAGCTGGGCTCAGGAGGGCAGAGAGAGTCTGGGGAAAGGACGGAGTCCCAGGAGGAGGTGAGCGAGGCCGGGGCCACCCTTGGGGTCAAGCAGGAGCCAGTGCCGGGGGAGGAGGAAGCCGCGCAGCTCCGAACCCCTGCGGAGGGCCAGGGGCCCCCAGGGGACGCCGTGCCCCTCCTGAGAGCCAGCCCAGCCCCACAGCAGCCCACCGAGAGGCAGCCTCTGCTCCAGCGGGGGAGGCCCAGAGCCAACCCCAGTGCCCACCCCGCGCCCACCTACGCACCCGCCCGGCAGCCTGAGCCGGCCGCCCGGGCCGAGGGCGAAGAGGCCAGGGGCCCCAAGCAGAAGTCATGCCAGTGCTGCGCCCTGATGTGAGCCACGCCCCCGGCTCCGCCCACAGCTACCTCACCTCTGGGCACCCGGCAGGGGGCTCCAGGCACAGCCGGCCCCACCAGACCCGCTGGCCTGCACGTCCACCTTGCCCACTGCCTGTGACCCCGGCTCCCGTCCGTGACAAAGCCTTTATACTTGAAAATAAACCCTTAAAGCACTTGGATGTGTGCGTGGTGTCAGCAAAGAATCCTGCATGGTCTCCTGGGGGAAACTGAGGACGTGCTTCCCCTCGGAGCCAGCGAGAGGCCAGAGGCAGCCGCAGCAAAAATACCTCGGGCTGCAGTAGCCATTAGGACACCAGCGTTTATTTTGGCTCCGCTCTACGCGGTCCCTCAGGGATTCAGGCTCGGATCCACGCAGTTACTCGGGGACGCGGTTTCCTCTCCAAGTCTTGCCTCACCGTCCCCTGGGCGTGGCCCCAGCGAGCGCCTGTGCCAGCTCACAGGAAAGGGAGCAGGCGTAGAGAAGAGCCCCACGTGATGCTGGCACAGGACACTCCTGCTCAGGTTCCGGCTGCCCCCACACTGTTGTCAAGACCTCAGTCCACGACTGACCTAGCTGCAAAGGACCGTGCCCAAGTGCAGTTCTGTTCTGGCAGGACAGACTTCCGGAGGTAGCCGCTGCTCTCGGATTGCATACATTTTCTTTCACTTCCTCATCCATTCCCTGCTGGGGCTGGGCCCTTCTCTGAAGGGGGTCCTCCAACCTCAGGACTTCCTGGCTGAGTGTCCTCAGACAAGTGACTCAGCCTCTCTGAGCCTCAGTGTCTTCATCTGTCAAGAGGTTTAACCCAGGGCTGGGGAGCGGCATCCATGAGCACCCTTCTCGCTTGTCCTGCAGCCCCCAGCTTGGGGCAAGGTTCAGACCACATCTTGAAACCTGGGGGGCCTCAGGAGGCCCAGTTCCTCCGGTGTGGGCAGGAAATGTTTCTCATACCCAGAGTGAAGTGGGGCGGGGGACTGGGGGGGCTCCTGAGGTGCTGGTGGCTCCATCTCCTCTACCTTCAGGACAGGCAAGTCAGTCAGAGGGGGGGCCTGGCGCACCTCCTGGGAAGAGAGAAGACTGAGACCCTCTCCTCCTGTCCCCCCACTTCCTCACACCCCCTGTCCGGGACCCCTAACTCCCCAGAGGGCTCTCCCAGCTGACCTGTCTGGGGTTTTCAGCATCAGGGACGGTGCCAAGGCCGCTGGACCACGGAGCCATGCACCAGCCCTTCTCTTGACCCAGAGTCTGGCTCAGGTGCCAAGGCTGGCTTTGAACCCGCGACCCCCGCTCCGCCCCAGGAGAACCTGGGATCCTGGAGCCGCACAGTGGGCGGCGCTTACCTCCACGTGGGTCTGCCCTGCGCTGCTGTTGGCGGGGTCGGGAACCTTCTCCCACACCCAGGGGGGCAGCACCTTCTGTCGCAGGTGGAGGCACCTGTGAGCAGGGAGGAGTCGGGGCAGCTGTCCCTGTGGCCAGAGGCGGGCCCAGGGGCACAAACCGGGCTGTCACAGACCGCAGGCCTCCTCCCAACCCCCACGGGAGCTCAGCGGGTGCCCGCGCCAGGCACCAGGGCAGAGAGCCGCCGGCCTGACCCCTCACCTCCGAGCCATGGCCAGGCTCAGGCCGCAGCCCACCAGGAGCAGCCCCCACAGGGCCAGGACGCCCGGCAGAACTCTCCATGGCACCGTGTTATCTGGAAGGTGGGAGGAGAGACCGTGTGGACACCAAGGAGGGACAGGGCCCACGCCCAGGCGGGGCCTGGGGAGGGGAGCGGGCGGCCCGATGGGAAGGGCCTAGGGAGGCACAATCCCCGGGTGGGGGTGCAGCCTCCAGGAGGGCAGGTCAGGGTCAGGTGTGGGGTGAAGCTGCAGGTCACACGCCTGCCTGAGTGTCACCCCAGCACTCAGCAGACTCGAAAGGCCTCCAAGGACTTGGGGGGCTCCGTGGTAGAGTACCCACTTGGCACGCACAGGGGTCTGGGTTCAGCACCCCTAAAAATAATCCTCCCATGAAGCAGAAGGTTGTCCACCCACTGCGGTCTGTGTGACTCTACTGTCCCCTACCCTCCAATGGAGCCCGCAGTTCCACCCCAGGCCCCTACCTGGTAGGTGAAGCCAGAGGCTGGGGCCAGGGGGGCCCTGTCCTGCAATGGTGGAGGCAGTCACCCACAGCTCACAGGGACCCCAGTGAAGGTTGGGCAGAGTGGAGATCCGGGTGCTGCTGCTCACTGAAGAACACAACCAGAGAGGTTGGGGAGGTGGCAGTTCTGCCTCAGGACCTTGGTACGTGCTCCTTCCTCTGTTGGTGACACTGTCCCCCAGATACCCGGGTGGCTCCCTCCTTCTCTCTCTCAAATGTCACTCCTCAGGGAGCTCTTCCCTGAATACCCCTTTAAAACTGTGCCCCCTGCACGCCCCCCCACCTTCCCTGCTTTCTTCTCAGCCCAGAGCTCATCACCATCTGGCACACCACACAGACAGTATTTGGCTTGTCTGTCGGTGGGTCACCCGTTAGAAAGTCAGGTCCCGGGCTCAGGCTGCAGCTCAGTGGAACAGTGGTGCCCAGCACGCGGGGACCCCGGGTTTCGTCCCCAGTACAAATGGAAAAAGAAAACAGAAATGATCAAGGGCACCATGTGGCCCCGGCTACTGGGATGAGGTGTTGGGCCCCGAAGCCCAAGGTCAGCTTGGGCAATGCAGTGAGGCCCTGGACCGAAAACATAAAGGCCACATTCCCAGGGGCTCTGTCAGTGCCTAGCACACACAGTGACACCTCCCTCCCCTGTCTGGAACCCAGGGGGAGTTGGCAGAGGCATTCAGACTTCCCAGAATGACTCTTATTTACTTTTTTAACCAAATGAATTGAGGCTGGACACGGTGGCACGTGCCTGTCATCCCGTTGGCTCAGGAGGCTGAGACAGGAGGTTTGCAAGTTAGAGGACAGCCTCAGCCATTTAAGGAGGCCCTAAGCAACTCAGTGAGACCCTGTCTCAAAAAATAAAAAGCTGGGGCTGGGGCTCAGTGGAAGGGCGCTTGCCTAGCGTGTGCGAGGCGCTGGGTTCGATCCTCAGCACCGCATGTAAGTAAATGAACAAAATAAAAGTCCATATACAACTAAAAAATATGAAAATATAAATAAATAAAAAGGGCTGGGGATGTGGCTCAGTGGTTAAGCACCCCTGCGTGCAATCTCTAGTACAAAGTAAATAAATAAAAACCTCCTTTTTTATTTGCCGGGGACTGAGCCCAGGGACGCTCTAACACGAGCCACACACACCCCCAGCCCTTTTTATTTTTCATTTTGAGACAGGGTCTCACTGAGCGGCCCAGGCTGGCCTCCAACTTGTGATCCTCCTGCCTCAGCCTCCCGAGTCTTGGGGACTGCAGCCATGCACCACCACGCCTGGCTTCAATACCGGTTTATTTTACCAAAAAAGGAATCATATCAAGAGTTTCATAATCCTTTTATCTTTTCCACTTAATAAAATATGACAGGCATCTTTCATTGTCAATAAATATAGATTGGAGTCTTCATTTTTAATGGCCTAATAAGAGGCCATTTCACTGATAGCCAAGAGGGTTATTGTCCGTCAAGGAACTAATGACATCGTGTCCCCATGGGAGGAGGGGGAGCCAAGGGGCCCGTGTGGGCGGGGGACATGGGCAGGGGGCAGCAGGCTCACCATTGGTGCAGTCGGCGGGGTTCGGCCCACTTCTTGAGCACAGCGTGTAGTGAGTAAGGTGGCCCTGGAGCTGGTGTCTTGGGACCTCTCCCCACGCCACCGTGGGAGTCCCTGGGGGGTCATCCTGGAGTCGCCAAAGGGCCGGCCCTGCCAGGGGTGCTGGGGAGAAGTGCGGCAGGTGGAAGCTAGCCCCTACCCGGGGTCCAGGACCCCCAGCCCTCCAGCCTCATTGCCTACCTCGTTCCTCCCGGAAAGCCCAGACCGAGGAGGCGCGGGCCAAGCCCCCGGGAAGGACCGCTGTCACTGTGATCTGATAGGGGACCCCTCCTTTGAAAGTCCCTGGGTGGCAAAGGGACAAAAAGCGATTTAAAGCCGGCTCTCCCTCCCTGCCCACTTCCCTCTTGGGAGTGTCCTCACTGGGTCCCCAAAGGACACCCTGGGATGAGGACTGGGGTGTGGTCTATCTGGAAGGCCACCCAGAAGAACCAGGAGGCCCTGAAAAGGGACAAGGAGAGGGGGAGGGAGGGGGAAGGGCCAGCAGACCCTGGTGAGGGGCCACTCCGTCCCTGGGCCTGACCCCCAGCAGCCCCAGAGGGGAAAGGAGGAGTCGGGTCCCCAGGGGGACCACCGCGCTCAGGGCCGCCGGGAACCTGTGGGGGCAGCAGAGAGCAGCCGGCTTCTCCCCCCCAGGACGCCCGCCGCGGATGACCATGACCACGACCGTCCGCGGATGACCACGACCCCCCTGGCTGCGCCGAGGGTCCCCTTGGCCAGCACTCCCTGCCCCTGACCAGACAGCGGCCTCGGCCAGGAAACGGCTGCAGGCAGCTGGGAGGCGCGGGCCGGGCGCGGGAGGCCGAGACCCGGGCGGCCTGGGCAGCGCCCCGTGGTCCGGGGACCCTCGAGGTCCCCGTGGAAACCCGCGGCTTCTGCACAGTGTCCAAGCCGGGGGTCTCAGGGCCGGGGTCCTTCCCTGAGGCTCAGGGGTACTCGTGGGCCATGGGACTGTGGCCCTACTGTCCCCCACACACACACACCGTGCTGCATCCCACAGACGGCTCCAGGACCCGCTCAGACCCCAGGCCGGGGACAGGCTCCGTGGGGGGCTGCGGAGCGTCTCAGATGTGACACACCGAAACTGTCCCCAGGCCCCACCAACCAGGACCCCCTAACCTGAGCCTGCTTGCTTCTCCCCCAACCCGGGTCCCCACCCGATCCTGTCCCACCGTTTCCCTCCCGAACCTTCAGCTCCTGCCCTTCCCCTCAGAGCCGCCAGAGGGCACCTGTGAGCACGGGGTGAGGGCACTTCCCTCCTCCTTCAGAATCCTCTATGGCTCCCACCTCACTCTGCCCCAAAGCAAAGTCTTCCCCCAAAGTCCCTACACACTCCACCCCATGACCTCCTCCATCCTCCCCCTTCACTCCACTCTAAGCACACCACCCTCCTGCTGTCCCTCCAACCCACCGGGCACATTCCTGCCTCAGTGCCTTTGTAT